TATAGTAATATTTGAAGAGACAGACTCAGTAAACTGAATAAAGATCAAAAACTCTCATGATTATTAAAGATACGATTATTTTCACTGATCCCCAGGAAGTAGTGACCAAATATCCTGTGGATACCTCCAAAGTGAGGTCATGTGGATAACAAGTCGATTGCAGAAGTCCAAGTTCAAGACCTCTCCATTGTTTCAAAAGCATAATATAAATATCATGCCCCCATCTCTTGCCCAATTCCTGCTTCTAATAAAAATGTGGTTTTAGTGTCTGGCTGCAGAAGTCATGCCCAAGGAGTTTATTGAATTCAAAAATTTCTCTTTCTGGTTTTCTTATTCTGCTGAATTTTCTTACTCAGGATTTGCAAGATTTCTCTCTTGCCTCTGGGCTATAAGTAACTATTGCCATAAATAGAATAGTCTCTCATGTTTAAAAACAGATTAAGAGAGAGAAATAGTTGCCTGTGTAATGTCAAATCAGTGAAACACTCCTAAACTTTCCGAGAGAAATGTACAGCTTTGATATCAGTTTGAAATGCCTAGATCACCTCCCAGCTGTTATCTGTCAGTGACCACAGAAATGTGTCCTGCTCCCATCAAGAATATTGTTTCATAAAATGGAAAAGCAGCAGTCCCTCTGCTTGAGTTTTCATAAATGGTGGTAGTTACTCAACTCTACCTTCTCGGTCCTATGCCATTAAAGAAAGAATATATGAGAAGGAATATGATAAACCCTTAGACTCTAAAATAATTATATGAAGTTTATTATTGGTGGACCATCAATGAAATTCTTGAAATTATATTTTTTCTTCACTCACTTTTATTCTGTTTATTTTTTCTTACCTTTAATTAATGTCTCGTATTAGCAAAAGAAACTTTCAGAAGAGCTGGTATCTACTGAGATCCATTTGCATCATTTCATCTGTCCTTCATTCTTGTTATTATTACAAAAGAGGAGAGTCTGCACTGAGGCTTTCTAGCTCCTTGACAGTTAATACCCAGGACCCCAGGGAACACTTTGTGTCTTCTTTTAGTAGTAAATATTTGCTGTCTCTCATCCCACCAATGAAGAAGAGCGAGTAACCAAACAACTTCAGGAGCCAAGCTCCCATTTATGGTTCTATTACTATTCTTACAGTAATTAATTTCAATTCAACAAGCAAAATTGGAGTCTTTTCAATGAACAGTTTGCTGTTGAGCATAAAGATGAACAAGAATCAAGAAATTTACAAACCAAAGGGGGATATTTAAGCCATGACTTTAAAAATGGAGAATTTTCAGAGTCAGTGTTTCTTTAAGTTTGGTACCCAGACCGTCAGACCTATCTGTGTGGCTGGTTAATAAACACAATTTCTGGGTTATATACCAAACCTGCTGAGTCAAGATCTCTGAGAGTGGAGTAAGGAAATCATTTTAACTGGTTCCCAGATATTTTGTATGCCTACACAGTTTGAAAACCACTCATGTCTTATAACTGCCCTGGGCAGTTATAAAGTGAAATGAATCATACACAATTTTTCAGCAGCAATTATCCATGTTAACACTCCAACTAGAAAAGTTCTCATCTTCTGATCAGTTAAAATTAACTAGGGAACTTGATGTGAAATGCAAACTCCTGGCTATGCCTCAGTAATTTCTTATTTAGTAGGTATGGGATGGGGTCCAGGAATATAGCTTTTTAATATGCATACTAGTGATTCCAATGCAGTTCGCTTGGAAGATAACACTTTAAAAAGCACTGGTCTGTTGGCTGGCAGTTGGCTGTAGTCGCTAGTGTTCTATAAATAGAACCGATGTGAATGATCCATAGAATGGAATAGAAAGGAGGTGGCAACATGTAAAGAGTATTATTTTGTTAGAAGCTATAGCAGTATGGTGAGACTCCTGACACGGAAAGTCATATTATTAAGACAGGTAATATAGAAAAATGGGACTCTTATTCAGCACTGTAGTTGGAATTGATGCAGCCAATTCATTGATTTTATTTTGGCTGACCATAATCAATACCGTCTGGATCAGAAAACTCAGATTTTTTTCAATTGCACTATGTTCATTCAGATATGCTCTCTCATTTGAAAATATAAATCAATAAGTAGAATATAGATTGGGACATTATTTCCTTAAAGAGTAATTATCTCCTAAAATAGGCATGCTGTAAATTGGTATCTTGGTGCTGTTCAACATCGCTCAGGTTGTCTGAATGTACCATATGGTATAACAGTATTCTCTGCCTTTAAAGTCACAAAAACCAAAGGCAAGAGAAAATCTATACATGGCAGCATACGCCACATGTGAGGAACCCCGTTGCTAGAAGGGTGGACACTGACGTCATCCTCCACTTCTTGCTCTCAAGCAGCCAGAAATTATCACAGGCCAGAGTCAAAGACTCCACAGAATCCTAAATAAATTTCCCGTGAGTAAAATCTATCACGCAGACTCAAAAAAGAGCCTTCTACAAATTCAACTAATAACAAAGAGGGAAATTGTACAACTTTTAGATAAACGTATCCAAAAATATCCGACATGTGTTTGTTGTACAATGAACATGAACTACGAGAAAAAAAACATTTGACTATGAAAGCAAATATTTTTCATGCTATGATCTACCGAGAGTAGAAGAGCTGTTAAGTATCTTTCTGGAGAACCACAATGACCTTTGTTGAGAATGTCTCTTAGACACTTTATCAACCTTATCAATCCCAGATGTCAAAAAAGTGTTGAGGATTGACCTAACTTCCAAATTATTTTCAGAATTATAGTAACACCCCACTGACCCTATAGTGCAGAAAAATGGTACCTCAGAGACAGAAGTATATCAGCTTGCCAGGACAATATGTGGATTCAACTCTCTTCCACAGTCACTCTTACTGAATTCCCAGGATGGCCTCTGAACATGGTCTTGCCTATTACAAATGAGAGGTGATTTCTCTGACTCTCTGAGGTCAACTTCTTAGTGCCTAATAAAAAAGCCTGGGGTAGCTCTCTAAGGGAGAGAAAAAGCCTGCTACTAAAGATTAAGGAAATGGTGAAAATTCGTCTGTGGTTAAAGGGGAAAAGAGGGCTGTCTCTGCCACTGCATTATGATTAAAACCACAGACTGATTTTCTCTGCTCTTAACCTTTCTAAACATTTAGCCTTACTTTCCTTTTCCTCACTGTTAACGTACCATGCCAATACTACAGTAAAATTTCATTTTATCCAAATAGGTTGGAACCAAGATCATTTTATTAAAATCATATTTTCGGAGAAAATGGAAAATACCAATTTAATCTAAGAACTTCTGTGTGAAGGGGAAAGTAGAGACTCCAATCTATCTGAATAATTGTAATAAAAGCTAAAACTACAACTGCCCCTTCCTTTTTTCCCATTTAAATTAGAATATTAAAGAATCCATTAAAATCCCATAAAAAGTACATGATCTCATGTAATTCTCTTACTAGACAATAACTGCCGTTTATATTAGAATGAGATTATATAAAAGTTTTATTTTGCTCATTACAAATTTGCTTACTTTGTTATTTTCTAATTATGTTTGTGCTGCTAAGATGTCTTGTTCTTTACCTGCCACACAAGAGGGGCCAAATAAAACTGGAATGCCAGGCTTATGGCAAGGAAAGGGTTTTTATTTTGGGTGACATCAGCCAGGACATGAGAGCTCTCAGATTTGCCCCATCTCCCCGAAAGATGGGAGGCAAGGTGTTTTAAAGGTTGTGAAGAATGTGGCTGCTTGGAGGGGGGGGCAGTCTATAGCCTTGCTTGTTGGCGCTTCCCCACCAGCCTGCATTTGGCCTGTGAGGCTGCTGGCAGGGAGGAGGATGGTGAGATAAGGGAATCGTAGGTAGTTATCCTTCAACCAACTGAGTAGTGGATGGTGGACTCTGGCTCCAGGAAGCCAAGAAGTTGAAGTCTGAGGAGCTTTAGCTTCTTGATATTTTCTGGATATAGTTTTCCTGTAACAAACCTCAAGAACTGGTAATTAGCCAAAACTTCAGTGTGAGCCCAGCTTGAGGCTACCTGGGATTTTAACAGTTTGTAACTTCTATCTGCCTTGTGAAGTTCAGGGATACAAAGGTTTAAAAAACCAATATTTACATATGAATGTAACTTATAGAAGCAAGGAAAGAGGATGAGCGCTTTTGGTTTTAACCCCATACATGCTGGGTTTAATGTAGGGGAACTGATATCAGGGCTGGCATTAATTCCATTAATCTGGGCCAGTTAAACAAGTTGTTTCCAACTTGTGCTCATGAGCCCTCCTTTGTAAAGGTTGGTAATTTGTAAAGGCTGGTAATTTTACACTGAAAACAATATTTCCCAGCCAAAAATGGAAACAGTCACCATGTATAAACATGAAGCTGCCTTACAAGGGACAAGAAGATGGAGCAGAATATGAATGACTTATGTTCACTCCTTCACCCCGCAGGAGGAGTTCAAAACACACTCCTTACTGGTTATTGGAACTGACGTTTTCAAATGTTTATCAAATGAAAAGGAGCAGGGGCCGGCCCCGTGGCTTAGCGGTTAAGTGCGCGCTCCGCTACTGGCCGCCCGGGTTCGGATACCAGGCGCGCATGACGCACCGCTTCTCCGGCCATGCTGAGGCCGCGTGCCACGTACAGCAACTAGAAGGATGTGCAACTATGACATACAACTATCTACTGGGGCTTTGGCAAAAAAAAAAAAGGAGGAGGATTGGCAATAGGTGTTAGCTCAGAGCCAGTCTTCCTCAGCAAAAAGAGGAGGATTAGCGTGCATGTTAGCTCAGGGCTGATCTTCCTCACAAAAAAAAAAAAAAGAAAGAAAGAAAAAGAGCAGGAATTATGCTAAGTTGACTTGGAATTGCATGAAACAAAGCAAATGGCTCTTGAGTAGATGCCTTCTTTGAGTGATATTATTACACCTAAAATCAGTCTTTGAGAATTATAATGAAACAAGTCAGTGAAAACAAGAGCAATGTGATGGTGATGATGATCTCTGTATATTGATTTATATTTATGTTTTAGCTCTTTGAAAAAGTCAAAGAAGTTTGTCCAGACGTGCATGAGAAGATCCGAGCTATCTCTGCAGATCTCAATCAGAGCGACTTTGCCATCAGCAAGGAGGACACGCAGGAGCTTCTCTCCTGCACAAACATCGTCTTCCACTGTGCCGCCACTGTATGCTTTGACGACCATCTGAGGTACATTCCCATTTCCCTCTCGTGGCTTCTATGTATACGTGGTGTGCACCCATGTCTGTCTAAGTTTCTTTATGGTTTCTGTTAAAAAAAAAAAGATGTATTCGCAATGAAAAAAGAATACAAAGGAGTAAAACTTCTTCAAAATCTTTTTGGATATATTTCATTGTCATTAAATGTTCTATTATGATTTGCAATGACTGCATGACATTCCATTGTACATAATTGCCTATGATACACTCAACCAGTTCTGTATCGATGGACATTTTTTGGATTGTTCTAATTTTTCACTATTATAAACAACTCTGAATGAACATCTCTGTGCATACATTTTTTTTATACCATTGGGTGCCTTCCCTTTTGGGTAAGTTCCCGGAATTAGAATTGTTAGATACGTACCAGATGTGCCCAGCTTATGAACAGCTTACATTTTGACATGTAATCCTAAATCGCTTTCCCAAAAGGTGGAATCCATTCACACTGTCCCTATGCACATGAATCTCATGTCTGACATGAAAATACTGTATTATAATGTTTTAATTCTTTTTGACTTTGTCAATATGATAATGGAAATGGCATTGCATGTTTTGATTTTTATTTATTTGATAATTAGAAAGGTTGAAGATATTTAAATGCTTATTAGTATTTTATTCTTTTGTGAAATGTCTATTCATGTTCCTTACCTATTTTTCTCTTGAAACATTTTTTTCTTGTCAATTTTAAAACCTCTTGGAAGAGTTAACATATTAACTCTTTGTCTTTTATAAGGTTCAAAATATTTTTTGTGTGTGTGTGAGGAAGATTAGCCCCGAGATAACAGCTGATGCCAATCTTCCTCTTTTTTTTTGCTGAGGAAGATTGGCCCTGGGATAACATCAGTGCCCATCTTCCTCTACTTCACATGGGACACTGCCACAGCATGGCCTGACAAGCGGTGCATCGGTGCGCATCCAGGATCTGAACCTGCGAACCCTGGGCTGCCAAACCAGAGCACGTGTACTTAACCACTGCACCACTGGACTGACCCCAGGTTTGAAATATTTTAATAGTTTATCATTTGTTCTGAACTCTCTTTTTATTATTTATGCAGTTATTTATAATTTCTTCCAGTATTTTTGTTTTACTTTCACATTTAAATCTCTGACCCAATTAAAATTTATTTAGCTATAAAAAGGAATAGTCAGGAAACTTCTGTAAAAAGGAGAGTAATGTAGGTGTTAATGTACAGTAACTTTTTAAAAAATTTCTAACAGATGGTGACTTCTTAAATGACATTTGTTAAATGATTTATTTTCATTCTTTATTTGAAAGGAAACTCTTACAATATTTCATATTCCCACTTTTAAACTATGTATTTTGTTCCATTAATTAGGCTTTCTCTTCCAGTACCACAGTGTTTAATTACTGTAATTTTTATTTTATTAGGCAAGTATACACATATCAGTCTCTTTTTATAGAATTTTCCTGACTATTTTCATCTACTTATACTTCTTGATTAAACTTGGAATAATTTTGCCAAGTTTTTAAAAGTGTTGAGAGTTTGACCGGGATTACCTTGAGTATGTAGATTCATTTAGAAAAACATATTTAAAACATTGGTTCTTCCTGTCCAAGAGCCATATATGTCTTTCTATTTATTCAATTTTTCTGTTATGACCCTTAATGAAGTTTTATCATTTACTTTATATAGAGCCTATTCATTTATTATTAATTTGATATACTTTCAAATGTTTGATTTTGAACGTGTGCCTTTCTTCCATTTTATTCTCTAATTTTCCTATATAAGAAAGCTGGTTATTTTTTTTACATAACTTTTATAAAGGAACACCTTGCTGAATTATCTTATTGTCCATCCCAGATTTCCTTTAGCTGCTTCTGTCTGTTTTCCAGGTATACAATTATACAATCTAATAGTGATTTTTTTGACTGTCTTTATAATATTAGATCTGATCATTAGTTTTGTTTTCCTCTCTGACAAAGCTGGAACTTCAGAGCAGTGTGAAGCAGTAGTGGTGTTGTAGACATCCTTCTCGGCCCTGACTTGAAAAGCAGTGCTCAGCTTTTCCCCATGAAGCATGATTGTTGTTGTTAGTGCCATGGAGTTGATTCCGACTTCTAGTGCCCCCGTGGACAGCAGAGCGGAACCGTGCCCCATCTTTTTGTGCCATCCTCTCACCTTCCAGCGCTGTATCAGACAATGCTCTGCTGCTGTTCATAGGGTTTTCATGGCCAATTTTTTTGGAAGTGGGTGGCCAGGTCCTTCTTCCTAGTCTGTCTAGTCTGAAAGCTCCGCTGAAACCTGTCCACCATGAGTGACTCTGCTGGTATTTGAAATACCAGTGGCATAGCTTTCAGCGTCACAGCAACATGCAGCTGCCACAGGATGACAACCGACAGGCAGGTGGTGTGGTTCCCTGATGGGGAAGTGAACCCTGGATGCTGTGGTGAGAGCACTGAATCTTAACCACCAGATCTCCCAGGCTGGCTATTAAGCATGATACAGGCTAGCAGATTGATATACATACATTTTAATCATTTTATTCCTCTTTTAATGAATTTTTAAAAATTCAATTGGAAATGGATACTGAATGTCATTTTTCAACTTTTCAAAATACATATAGATGATCATATAGTTTTTCTCTTTTTGAATTAAATTACATTAATAGGTTTCCTAATATTGTATAAACCATGTATTTCTGGAATGAACTATTTCATTTTCATCACATATTGTGTTTATGTGGCTTTCTATTCTATTAGCTAAAATTTAGGATTTTGACTTCAATTTTCATGTCTGACCTGGACCTTTGCAATAGAAACTTATATTTCTCATTCTATATCCACTGTTGCTCTCCGTCAATTTATTTAAATTTTCCAACTTCTTGAATCGATGCTTAATTTATGTATTTTTATTCTTTTAATGGCTGCTTAAGTAGCTTCTTTATAAATTCAGAGGATTGTGATTTTTTCCTTCCAGTTGTTTGTAGAACCATGACTTCTAAATGCAATATGCACAAATGCTTCAATGAATAAGATTTATGTGCACAGGATACATCACCCACATATAACACGTTCCAAGTATCACATAACTGTGTAGTCATGACTCATACTTTTCTTCCTGGTCCTTTGAGGCAGCCACAAAAATCAGATGGCTCTGCCAGTGACTGGAGTAGGTGACGTACAGCAAGGCAGGATGCTGAGTGGCCTCATTGTGTCTCCTTCCGCTTCATCTTCTCTAGACATGCCGTGCAACTAAACGTCGCTGCCACCCAGCAGCTCTTGCTTATGGCCAGTCAGATGCCAAAGCTCGAAGCCTTCATACATATCTCTACTGCCTATTCAAATTGTAACCTGAAGCACATCGATGAAGTCATCTATCCATGCCCTGTGGAGCCAAAAAAAATCATCGACTCCATGGAGTAAGTTGGGTCAAAGGAGGGGCTCAAGGGGTGGACAGATTGTTGTTCTCTTTGATTCTTTGTAGCCATTCGTTAATGAGGTAACGAAATGGGACACCTTGAAACAAAATGCTTTGCAAAGGTGCTAGCTTTAGCTACCCTGTCCTGCTAGTCCCTCCACGCCTAGAGGGATGGATGGGGAATACAGGTGTGCGGATGGGGTAGCACAGGGATAGAAAAACCCCACAGAACAGTTTTGTTAAATAGTTCAGGATTACATGAGGTCCACGGGAATACTTTACATAGAAGTGGTTTCTCACTTCTTAATGAACTCAGCATTGTCACGAGGTAAAGGAAGTACAGTATACAGTATAAAAGTTCAGGAAAACGGTTTTTGAGTCAGACTGACAAGGGTTTGACTTTAGGTTCTGCAGCTTACTGGCTGTGTGACCTTGAGCAAGTTCCTTGACCTCTCTGAGCTTCAGTTTTTTCATTGGTAAAACGGGGCTAACAGTAGTGCCCATCTTACAGTTGTAATGATAAATTGAGTTATATAAAGCAATTATTGCAGCGTTAAGAAGTGTTTAACAGCAGTTAATCAAAAGGTTAATAGAGAAGAACTAATAGAGAAGAGAAATTCCTCCCAGATCTGGCAGAAGGAGTCAGTCTCTTGATCTACTCAGCCGAGATACACTTTTCTTACTGTCCTATTGTGCAGGAGACATAGTGTCTAGCAGTTTTCTCTTCTTGCCAACAAACAGGAACCACTTTCTTCTTAGGACATGGCCTAGGTCTCAGAATAAATATGTTTCTGTTTTGTGCTTCTTTGTTCTTCTGCTCCGTTTACCAAATTTACCTTGTTTTTTTTTTCTTTTTTTAACTGCATAAAAAGTATTGCAGCAGAGAAAATAGACTGTCACAATGAATTTGTCTGATTTTAATTTCATATGATACTGTATTTCTACTTAAGATATACTCTTTAAAATGAAGTCTTAGCTAGATCAAGAGGTCATTCCCTTCAGGGCAAACATGTTTATCTCACGCAGCTCTGAGAATAGATATTTTTATCCGTCATTTAAAAATATCCAGAACAAAGAGGTATGAAAGTCATCTAAAGGACCTGGAGGTTACTTAAAGTTGCCAATAAGTGATGATTTGCTTAACTGGTGCAAAGGAAACTTTCAGAGTCCAGAGTTTGTCAGGAGAGTTGGAGAAAAGACACTCTGATGCCCAGCGTCGGGTTAGATTGGATTGATTCCATGCTTTGCTTCCAAACTAGCATCCTTTCAACGAGATTACTTTCTGATGTCCTTTTCTTTTTTCTTTTTTTCCTTTTTCTTCTCAGGATGTATAACTGAGCAAATCAAACATGAATTCATTGTATTAGGGCAAAATTCCATGTTTGCTTCAGGACTAATCCAGCCTGAGGCTCCTCTGGGAGTTACCCTGACTGTCCCACAGCTGTGTCAAGGTCTTAAATTAGCCCCTCATTAACTTGAGCCTCAAAATTCCCATGGGAGATAGTTCTAGTTCTTGCCTTTCCCAGTATAGTTTAGATATACCAGAATGTTCTTGATGGCCAGATTGGTAGTATCACAACTGCCAGAGTAAATAGGAATCACAAAGCTCACAGAAGAGTCTCGGTTTAGGAGTAATACTTTTTACCTCTATATGCTGCTGTATCCTTTTGAAAGTACTTTGAATTACACCGTCTTCTTTGCAGCAATTCTGTAAAGCGTTAGGGCTAGATAAATTCAAGCTCCACTGCTTACTGACGATGCAGGCTTTTGAGTTGTCTCATCTGAAACATTGGGCTAATACTACCCACATTGGAGAGTTGATCAGATGAGATAATGTCTGAGGAGTGCTTAGTGCTGTGGCCTGGTCCCTAGTAAAAGGCTCAGCAAATATTACTCCCTCCATTTTCTCCTCTATTCTCTCTCATCTCCCATGTTACACACATTTTGAATTTTATGGATAAAGAAACAGGCACAATAAGGTCAACCGACTTGCTTAGGGCTTAGGAGACAAACTCAAAAAGACTTTTCCCTCTAATTGCTGCTTAACATAATCTTTCCTCTAACATCACTAAGCAGACTAATAAATATATAAATATATATATATAATTATATATAAATAAATACATATATTAATAAATATATCATATGGATGCTATGGCTCTTAAAATTTTCAAGAAATGGATGATTCCTACAAATCATGTTTGAAATGTTCCTCTAGGAGTTAAAATCAGGGCCTAGGTGGAGAAAAATGATGGTCCATGTATTGGTTAGCAAATTATGATATTAAGACAAGGTCCACTTTAGCCCCAAAGATACTCTAAAACAACTTGAAATCATCATGACTCCTGCTATGAAAAAAATGCTGGCTGAATTTTAATTCTTACACAAAGAAAGTGCAGAAAGCAGCCAGTGGCTTGCCATTGATCTTTGTCTGTGATCTTAGAAATACTGGATTATCAGTTCTATGGGCTAGAGTCTCAGTGCTCTTGTTTGAAATTTGTTAAGATCACATGCAGATATTCCAAAGGTGTAAAATTTTCTGACGTGTAACCAGTAGAGATCTTCTTTTTTTTTTAGGGTTGGGTTGATAACCTAAATGGACTTACTGGGCTCGTTATTGCAGTATATATAATGATTGTAAATAACTCCTTGAAATGTAGCAGAGGGATAGTAACAAGATGCTTAGTATTGGCTTAGCTTCATTGATCCAAAACCACAAATGTTACTTTACTAACTACAATTGAAGCAAGTTATCTCAATTTTGCTGATTGGAAAATAGAGGCAGAGTCAAATTACTTTTATTATTTGTGGAATATTTATTATCAACAAAACAGAGGTACTGTGATAGCATCAATTACTATTTGGGGGGGGTGGTTTTGGAAAGTCTGACCTCAAGGACCATGTCTGTATTTCCCCTTAGTTACCACAAGATGGGGGTGTTTCCTGCTTTTCGCTGGTTATTAATAGCTCGAATTAGTGCAGCAAATTGAGGGTGCGATAAAAATCATATTCGCAAAGACTATTAAATCCTTGATTATAAAACACAC